AGACAACCCCGTAACAATATGCGTTTTGTACTGCTGTTACACAGCACAAAACGCATAAAAACCCAGTGAAGAACTGGCTGTTTCAGGGCGCAGTATGAACGTTACTTTTGGCAAAGTTGTTTTGGAAGTGACATAGCGATTCTTGAACTAAAGTACGAAATTGACGACAGTGCGAATTTCGCATGTCTGCCGAGCATAGTAGTCCCTCCGTACGAACCACGCACTTTAGAAGTTCTCGGTTTTGGGTCTAACCGTTAGTTGATTTACTTCTTTAAGTGTCTACTTTTGGGCGCATTTCACACGTTAGAGCGGATTGTCTTTTGTGGCTGACTACGGTAGGTTCTGCTTGCTATTTTATTCAAAAAAATCGGTTTACTAAAATTTTTGCGCATTTTTCTGAAGTTGTTGAAAGCGATGTGTTTTAACCCATATGTTCTTCAAACAAAATCACTAAATCTGAGATGGACAGATAAAGAATGTACTGAGCGAACTCCTTTCTTGTTGTCTTCCGATATCAGAACTATTCCACAAAAAAAATAAATGAGAATGGATTATAAGAATACTATACAAGATGGAATGCCATTTTAGCTGAACTTTTCCGAAACGTGGAATACTTGTTTACAGAGACGAAAATTTTTTCTGCTGCATCTTAGCTGTTTTTTTCGAATCGTCAGTAAATCTTTCGCCGTGACCATAGCTTGCAAGTGTGTCGCATTGTAATTCACTTTTTTACTTGTCGGAAACCCGTAAATTCGGATTTCGGTACAACTGAACAAGATTCTTACTTTTTTATTTCCCATTCAGGTGGAATGCGAATATCAGATATACATCCGCGCTTATCCTCTACAGTTTAGTCACCATCCGTTTAAACTTCTCTGCTGTTCTTTGCGATTAGAGCAGGTGATGGCTGCAACGCATTTACATGCTGAAGCACTGCAAGTCGTCGAAAAATTTTGGGGCAGTATTTTTTCAAAGGTTCTCAAATCGGTTCTTGTTCGCTTCCAAATGCACGAATATTTATTGCACCGGTAGGGAGCCGTAGACATGTTTTCATTCCGCTATTTTACTTTTCAGCCCGAAGTTGACTTCTTGAACAGTTAAACAGAAAGTGAAGTGATCGCCCTTGCGATAGCTTTTGGAGAATTCTGAGTTTTTCAGTTGCACATAAAAGAATTGACGTCACTTTTTAATCCAATAATTACTAATTAAGCTGAATTTGAAATCACTAGCTCACACAAGGATATAGAAAGCACCTGTGAAATTTCAGCCTTCTGTCTTCTCTGATGTCTTCTCTAGCTCCCCCTCTCCTCTCGAGCAAACTCAGCCACTGCGAATGGTAAGTTCATTGTGGGGGACAAAACCCGAAAACACACACAGACCGACAACATCGCAAAAATATGCTTTCTAACACGTTTCACTTATGCAATCATTCTGTTCCACTTGAGATCATAGATCTCACTGCTGGCCAATTATTTCCCAATTATTAAGCAGATGAGCTTGAAAGATGACCATTTTTTATGTTTTGACGCACTCCTCTTCGATGCATTTCTAAAATGACTAATTCCGGACATTTGCCGATCACCGCTGAAACAATGCGCTCTGTCTATACAAGAGATTCAAAGCCCGTTTGCAATACCATTTACTATTTGCTAAGAAAACTATCGCTTTTCAGCAGCTTTAAATATAACTCTAATGAGTAACTTGCAAAAGATGGTGTTATACGGATTAATTGATCGGCGGTCATGTGAGGAATCCTGGCCTGTATCAAAAGATGCTATTTGCACCACTGAGACAAGAACACGGTCCACTTGTCCCGTTGGTTTTCGAATCATTTTCACTGAAAATATGTTTTTATCTTTAATGAACTTGTATTACTGTTAAAAACCACCCACTGCTATAACTCCATGTAATGACTCGTATCTAATTGTGATCTACGCGAAAAATAGTATTGCTAGGGAACTGGCACATCCACTAATCTCAATGTTTATCTAAAGCAGTGCGCTGTTTTCACGATGATCATAAGGGCCGAAAGTTTCAGGGCGACAGTGGCGGTGGCCTAATGGCACAACTGGACGATGGTCGTTGGGTACTGATTGGTATTAATTCACTTTCTGGCCCATGTGCGGAGCTGTTCAGAAGAGAACAAAGCCCGGCCATACAAGTCCATACGAATGTTGCACTTTATGCAGCCGATATTGCTCGCTTTACTGGCTTCTTGTTACCATTGGTGCAATGATATGTAACCTCCTAATAAATTTACGAATTTATTTCTAGATACTCTCATTTTATATAAATTTTCAAGAATCATCAGCGACGCCCACCGGGCGGGCCCGTGCGATCATGCGCTTTTGCGGTATGTCATGCTGTTGCAAGATCGCTTGGAATCACAATAGCTAGAATTTATGATATACTGGTATTCCTAATTCAAAATGTTAATCGTGCAACTACTCTTCTACTTGGAAAGGGGACATTCTTTTAAAATTTCAGTTTTCCAGCTTTTCTGGTTCCCGCATTAGCAATTATTCGCCGAAAAATTTCGTGGGGCCACACGTGAGGACCACGCATACCGAGGAGCTGAACTTGAAATTTTTGAGCTCTAATTGAGAAGGGATCATACCTTTAAAACTTCAGTCTCCCAGCTTTCCTGGTTCCAGAGCTGGCGAATTTTCCCGCCAAAAATTTTCATGGGGCTGTAAGTGGGAACCATGCGTATCTGGGTTGAATTTAAATTCTTTAAGTGTTGTAGAAATTTTAAAGAAATACAAATAGTGAATATTCCTACCAAGGAGACTGGAAGAGGACGGGGGCCTGAAATCCCCTATGTGTTAAATGCAGTTTGTTTGGCGTTACTGGCCCACCGTGGAGAGGAATACAATCGAATTTTGACAATTAATAAAAGACTGGAAGTGGCATTTAGATCTCCCAAATAAGCAACCTGTGTGTGCAGTGACTTGATAGCCTGTCTGTGTTTCATCTCTGAGCTGTAAAAATAGACGGCAGAAACGGTGCGGAATGAAATGGGAATTATAAGTACTGCGTCCTGTTTCGCCATGTTAAAAAGAACATGTGGATTAACGAAGGAAGATGAAAAACAAGGGGAGGAAATGAAAATTTCAGTCACTATTTCCTGATAAAATTACAGCCACTGTTTTCTGGCATGTTTTCGAGCTAGCATAGTACCAAGTCGAAAACTTTGACGTGCTCGTACGCGCTGTACAAGCCTGCACGACAACCGAATTCGAAACCTTTAGCTCGCACATGCATAGAGAATGCTGCAAAGTTTGAGCTCTGTATCTTGGTTGATTCGCAAAATCGTTTCCCGCCAACGAAATTTGCATATTTTTTTCTGGGATCCGTACACGGTGTCAAGGCGAGTAGGGGAAAGGGGGGGGGGGGGGGGGGGGGGGGG